GAGGGACCCACCTCCCTTGCGTCTAGGGGTGCGGTAGTGGAGCCGCCCCCTCCACTGACACCTCGGGCGCGGCGACAGATCCACCCACGCTTGATAGCTCTTGAGGCACGGCGGCGGGGGCATGCCCCTGTGCCAGCACCTCAGGCATGGCGGCAGACCCACCCGCTCTTGCTGTCTCTAGGGGCAGGCCGATGGTTTAGTCCGTCTTCACCGGCCCCGCGGACGTGCTTTCCCCGCGTTGAACGGGAAAGGCCCATGCGTGGACGAGTGGATACCTATCAGCATATCCTCGCTCGCTGGGTCATCCCACTCAATGTCAGCAACTACCTCATCATCCTCCTCGTTGTCGTCGTCATCATCATCATCACTGTCTGTCTCCTCTCCTCGCTCCTGTGCCCGCAACTTCTGTTGCTTCTTCCTCATCTCGTCCTCCTTGGCCTTCTTCTGCCACTCGGCCGTGGTGCGATTCGCCGCAGCCATGAGTGGGTCCTTCGGCAGCAAGGCCGAGCGATCCATAAAGATGAGTCTCTTCACCTGGTCCCGCTATCTCAATATCAGCATCAAGGGATCGGGAGTTCAATTAAAAAGGAGGCATGGGGAGAGAGAACTTACGAAGTCAATGTACCCTGGTTCTGGCCGCATTGGGGGATGCCCCGGCACTGGATACACAAAATCAAGAATGGCCCCAGCGTCGTCCCGCGAAGGCTCCATCGCCTCCTTGATGCGCTGCGCCACTTCGGAGGGGAAGAGCGCTCCCTCGGCGAGCTCCATCCCATCGAGTGACGCGTTGGGCACCATCATGTGCAGGGGAAGCGCGCGCCTCATCAGCGGCACCACTCTCTACGTATGGTAGGCACCGATGATCCCCGACCCGTTCACGCCCCTCTCCTTCAGAATTCGGATGGCAGCGAGATGGTCCTGGATTTTCTTCTTGTCTTTATCCGAGACGCCCCACTTCCTCCATGATTCTAGGACCTCTTCGATGAGGCGCCCGATGAACGCTGGCAAGGGGGTGGCTGTGTCGTCCTTGATGTAGAACCAATGTGAATGCCACCCCTTGGTGGAGGTCAACAGACGCATCAGCGGGTATTCATTTACCTAGTTGTCGCAGAGCTGAATGCCGGTGCATCCCATCGGCACGCTCAGCTCGTGCTTCTTCTCCCGCTTCTTCAGGAGGGTGATGGCGAAGAAGTGCCACCACAGGTTGAAGTGGGGACTAATCCCCAGGAACCCCTCACATAGGGCGACGAACGCCGCAATGTGTTGGATCTCGTTGGGAGTAAGCTGTTGTAGCTCCACATTGTAGTAATGCAGCAACGCTCGAAGGAACTTGTGGGCGGGGGTGGAGAATCCCCGCTCGTAGAAGTGAGCGAAGGACACAACGTAGCCTTCAAGCGGCTACGCTGCGTCCTCATTGCCGGGTAGCCGCCACTCCTCGGTGGCGGTCCACGTGCAAAGAAGCCACGACAAATGAGGCCCTCCAGGCACTAGAGGGTGACATCGGATCTACACCACGGCTCCATTGAACGATTAGGGAGGGTGTATGCGAACTTGACGGTGGTTGAGATGCGGATGCGGGAGGCTTAGGCGATTAGCGGCGGAGGTTGTAGATGCAAAGGCAAGGAGGCAATGTACGAAACCATGGGGGCAAACCCTTTGGTGTTATAGGGGCAACAGATGCGAGGAAGGCAATCATCCACCTAGATCTCCGTGCCTGCCATGATTCGCCACCACGTCACCACGCGAGATATGCGCCCCCAATCCCTATCCTTTCCCACCAAAGTCATGTTGGACACTTTGCCTTCCCAGGCAGACCAGGACTCATTACCAGCAAAAGGATACGAGTCAAAAAAGCATTCCTCCGGCCCACCTGGGCCCAGGAGTTTAAGGGCTGGCCCATCAACGGTTTCGACAATCGTCCCAAGGCAGCCTTACGACGAAGGATGGGCCCGTGAGCCGCCAAAACCCAGGCACACAAATGCCACAAGCATATCGACCCACAATTGAGTCTTAGCTAGGCTAACTCTTGCCTGATCCCCGCGAACGGGATACCGGGACTCCAATCAAACTATCCAGTTATCAAAACACCAAATCTCATAGCCATACCCGCGAAGGGTCCAAATTATCGCCCAGACGATTCTATCAAAAATCACCCGGGGGCTTGGGGGCTACACCTGATGGGTGCGCTCACGCGCACCCTCTGGCAAAATGAAATACCCCCTGAGTGATTCTATCCAAACCACCTGGGGGCTCGGAGGCTACATCCGTCGGGTGTGCTCGCGCGCACCCTCTAGAGAAACGAAATACCCCTGGGCGATTCTATCCGAACCACCCGGGGGCTACTGTCGGGGACCGAATACCGGGGTACCCAAAGAGGAGGAGCTAATAACCATCAAATGTTGATGCTTCCGAACAAACAAGAATGCAACTACACTTGCAAATGACCAAAGGTTGGCTCTGCCTCGCCCGACCCCCGAGGGCTGGACTCCACCTCGCCCGATGTCTGGGGGCGGACTTCGCCTCGCCCGACGTCCGAGGGCTGGCTCCGCCTCGCTCGACCCCTGAGGGCTGGACTTCACCTCGCCCAACGTCTGGGGGCGGGCTTCGCCTCGCCCAGCGATCGGGGGCTAGCTTCGCCTCGCCCAACGTCTGGGGGCAGGCTCCGCCTCGCCCGATGTCCCGACGACCGAGGGCTGGCTCCATCTCGCCCGATGTTCAGGGGCAGGCTCCGCCTCGCCCAACGTCCGGGGGCTGGCTCTGCCTCGCCCGACGTCTGAGGGCTGGCTCTGCCTCGCCCGACGTCCAGGGGCAGCACGACGTCCGGAGGCAGGCTTCGCCTCGCCCGACGTCTGTGCGCTGCTCCTTCATAACTGCGCGCGCAGATAGAGCAGGGCACTCAAGTCAACCGCAATACCGAGGACCATACCCTGCACACCTGTAGGAGAGTACCATCAGGATATGACCAGACGGATGCTTTAAGCCCTTCCAGGCATGTCAGAGCCCAAACAGTGTTGTGGGCGCCGACATTTATCCTACAGTGTTATGGGCGCCGACATTTGCCCTCAGGCACGAATCCTGATGGAAACATACGACAACCGCTATGATCTAAGAGGAAACTCATGTCATCTATAGTAACGACCGTGGGGGCCTCTACGCCATCTGCTCCCCATAGGGTCATGGCTCGTCACCCTGGCGTGCCGCGCTGCCCGTCGAAGCGGGATGGGATGTGACCACTTGCTGAACGAAGCCAGAGCACGGCCCTATCAGGATCACCTAACGTGCTATCCCTGGCACCATCTGCCGTGTCAGCAGGGTAGGCTCAAAGGAAAAGGAAGACCCGGCACCTTCGAAGGACCTTCTTTTCCTCTGGTTTTTCTTCTTTATCCCGTCTGTAATCCCTGCTCCCCCTTGATCTATAAAGGGAAGGCAGGGCACTCCACTAAGGGGACGGATCGATCCAACACACCACGCACCACATAACACACAGCTGAGCAGCAACTGAGCTCTCAGCACTTGTTCGACCTTCCCATCAGAGACTTGGGACCTGTCCCTCTCTTGACCGTTTGTATCCCCTACTATGAACCTTTTAGTGCTAATAACACGAGCAACAACAGCAAACTGGACGTAGGGACATTCTGCCCGAACCAGTATAAACCTTGTGTCTTTTAGCACACCATCCAGGCCCAACGCGCAACAAATACAAATTTACTAGTTGGTGTTTATTTGAAACACCGACAGGCGGCGCTGCGGTCTGCGGCTGACAGCTACGGTGCTAAAGGGCACGGAGGTGGGAAAGGGCGCTATAGGCGCCGTCCGATGCAGAGGGTGTGGTGGTGAGGTTGGCTCGGCCCACAACCGAGCGCAGCAGCGGAAACGGCAGCGACGCCGCGAGAAGAGAGGGAGAGCGTAGAGGGGCAAGGGTGAAGAGGTCAGCATCAGTGAGGCACCCTCCTTAAGAGCACGGCAGAGCAGGGCAGCGTGGACAGCTGGAACAACAGTGGGAGGAGTTTGAGCTGGAGCTTGGGGCGGGCATGGCGGGTGCGCTCGTGTTCCTATGGTAGGGAGCGAGGGAGAGAGCCGAGAGAGGGAGGGAGATGGACCGCGAGGACGAGCAAGGCGACCTCAGTGTGCAGAAAAAGGTAGGGAGAGGGACCAGCATGGCGTGGGTGGCCATGGCGCGCACTGTGCGTGGCCAAAGCGCAGGACAGGGTAGAGCAGGGCAGGGCATGGACGACGGCAGTGTCCATTTGCCCGACTTGAGACGACTATGCAGTGGATTCGGTCAAGCTATGGGTCCCACATCCTGTATAAAATGTCTTCAACTCGATGCAAACTCCAACTTTGCTTAAGGGACCACTGTCATTAGCACCATGGATTAGGAAATAAACGTGCTCAAACTTTGGTTTGTCAGGCTGATTCCAGAGACTTGGAAATTTTTCTAAGTTCCTCTGAAAACTGAATTTGATTCAAACTTTGGAGCCTTAACTAATCTATCAAACATGCAAACTAAGCATCAACAAGCACTCCACCACAAAGTTCATAACTTGAACTAAGTTTTTCATACCAACATATTTTATAGTTTCTATATAAAATAATTATTTATTTATCCTCTAAAAAGCTATTGAACAATTAAAACAAGGTAAGGTTTTTGGCATTTTTAATCATTTTCTCCATATTTTTTCAATACGAACCCTAAATAACTTTTGTTCGCAAACTCATTTAGAGATGTTTAAGCATAAAACCAAAGTTTGTTGACATCACACATGTTGACTATATTCACAAAGGTGATTTAAACAAACATGTATTATATCATTTCATGCAAGAATTTATCGCCAAGCATAGAAAACTTATTTATTAGGTTTTGTTAAGCCTTAAACTATTGTTAAACAGGTATGTAACACTGGGGTGTTACAAAGAATGATGCGATCTTGGTGGCCGCCCTTTCGTGTGCTCGCCCGTATAACGCTGGCAGCATCAAGACACGCTGCACAGCTTAAACCATGGGGCTAACAATTTGGGCTAGACGTTGCTCGGCCGGGGGATGGGGCTCCGGCCAGCTAGATCGGGGCAGGCGGCCTGCGGCCGGCGGTGCGACGGGCTGGACTCGCAGCGGCGCTGCGCCGGCCTGTGAGCGGGATGCGGTGGAGGTGGGGGTCGGGCAGGGCAACGCGCACGGTTGGTGGTAGCACTGTCCAAGGGAGCGCGCGCCGCTGCAGGGTACGACGGTGGCTGGAGGCACGCTGGCCAGCAAGGGAGTGGCGGAAGCTGGAGGCACGCTGGTCGGCGGGAACGCGGTGGCTCGCGACATAGGTCGGAGCGGCGGCCGGGAACGAGGAAGAAAGTGGATGTGAGAGGGATGACAAGTGGGCCCAATGCGTCATAGAGTGGGACAGAGGGCGACTAGCAGGGACAAAAGTGTCCATACGATGCCTGAAAGTGGGCCCAAAACGCCTTCGTTGCACATAATGACGTATTTCAAAGTACGAAACAATTGTAATGGCACTGGCATAGTTTCTTAATAGTAATGATGTGTTTCAAAAACGGCGAAGTAATAATGGCACAGATCCAATTAAAAAAATTACTCTCTCTGTTCTGTAATATAGTGTATTTTAGGATTTTTAAGAGAAATTAAGAGAGAACATAAAAGACGCATGTACCCTCATTTTATTTCCTAATCAGACGATATCATCAACGTGATTAATGATGATTGGTTGATAAATGAAAAGTATTTAATGCAAAATTAGTTTTTGTCCTCTAAAATATATTATATTTTAGGATAAATTTTGAACGATAGAATACACTTTATTATAGAATGGGAAATAATTAACTTTTTACCTGACTTGGGATGAATGGTATATACTATGTCAGACCCGTGTGTCGGTGACACATGTTATGGCCGTAATAATGGTAAAAAATTAAATGCCGCTTAGAATGGAGGGAGTAGGTCTTCCACTCTTCCTCCGCTCGGCAGATTTCACTGACTCTCACCGGCGGTCTCTGCCTCTTCCGCCGGGCGCCGCCATGCCGCCCTTGTCCGCGAGCGGCTCTACTTCGGCGACATCAAAGACGCCATCGCCGCCCTCACAGAGTCGTCCCCCACGCCGGACTTCACCCACGTCCTCTCCGTGGTCAGCTCCGCCTCCATCTCCTTCATCACCGACTGCCGCCCGGGCCTCGCGATCCCCACCGAGGAGGTCCACCGCGTCATCGCCGGCGAGGAGGGCGCGCCACCGACCGCCGCGGTGCCCCCCGGGACGCTGATGCGGGTGGTGGAGCGCGCCGGGCATGGGCTGCGGGTCACGCGCATGGCCGTGCCGCTGCGGGACACCGAGGAGGAGGACCTGCTCGACCGCCTCGAGCCCTGCCTTGATTTCATCGACGAGGGCAGGAAGGTCGGGAATGTTCTCGTCCATTGCTTTGCTGGGGTGTCGAGGAGGTAGGCGTCTGGAGCGTTGCCATTTTCGTTTTTTTGTGGGTAAAGTTAGGATTTCTACTTCGGAACAGTCATGTTTAGCAATGGAATTAGGTTCGTCATGGTAGTAATAGCATAGCAGTACGAATTTGATTTGAACATGTGAAATTTGACCAAACCAATTGGTAGCGCGATGACACTGAATGTTTATGGATTGTGACACAAACCACTTGGAGCAGGCTGCTGCCTGCTTGGCAATTGAGAACCAGAATTGGACTTACCTATGTAGCGTTTCTATCTAGTAAATTGATTTGCACAAACCTGTTCATTTGCAATACTGTCAACTCCTTTTTGCATCTTTGTGTATTTATTCATAATTTATTTCAAACTTACTGCAGTGCTTCCATCATTGTTGCTTATCTTATGAGATCAGAACAGAAATCTCTTGAAGGTCTGAACTCTCTTTTCCTGGAAAGAGAACAGGTATCTTTTCATCTCCTATACTTGAATTTTACTCATGTTGCCTTTTTTCTTCCCAGATGCATTAGAAGCTTTGAAGGAGATTTCTGAGTCGGCGTGCCCGAATGATGGTTTTCTTTACCAGGTGAGATTTGCTCATGATCTGCTGGCAGCAATGCAGCATATGAACTCCTGTAGTGTTTGTTGCTTAGCTGAACATTCTGTGCCCTGCAGCTGAAATTGTTTGAAGAAATGGGCTTCAGGGTTGATACTTCAAGTCCTTTGTACAAGAGATTCCGCTTAAAATTATTAGGTTAGTCCTGATCCATTTTGGTTAAAGTGGTGTTTAATAGTTGTCGTGACATAATTTCGAGTTAATAGGCATTCTCCAGTTTTTTCGGGGTATTCTCTATGTTTTATTTGTTTGGTCTCTCCTTGACTACTCTTACTAAAAATAGTGCAAGTTAGTTTCACATGTGTGGTTTAGGTAGACCAATAGACCAGATACATGCTTTCAAAGGAAACTTGCTGACACTGATCGTGAAATGTCTTCCTCATGAATTTCAATGGTGCACAATTGACAATTGATAGAAAATCATTTTGTGTTCCAGAGCGATCCCTGATTCATGGTGCAGAGCGTTCAAATGTTTTTTTTTCCTGATAATTTGTCTCGTGACCAGCGAGTTCCTACCTGCACTTATGTATCAATAAATATGAAGTGCTGTACAGTTAGGACTTTGGATATGTAGCTGCACCTGAAATAAATAAAAATGTGTTTCAGTATTTTTTCCCTCTCAAAATAAAAATAGTCAAAATGGTCGATTTATCAGCCTTAATCTGATAGAAGTTTGAGCATTCAACAATACTATCAGTTCATCAAATAGAATTGGCCATTAGCAGATACAATCCTTATTCAATATGGAGCAGTTGTACTCTTTGTGAGTCTTTTATCATGAGCTTTTTCTTCCAATGCTAAGGTCGTTACTCCTTAGAAATCTGTTTGCTGCATGGTCATGAGCATTGTTGCTGCTTTAAATCTAGTGTGAGGACATTCTTGATTTTTTTTTGCAAGTACAAAAGTACCTTTTAATTTCAATTTATTTCAACAAACATGTACTCCTTAGAAAATAGGCAGCTATATGTTTGAAGATGACCCTGGCCTTGTTCCGCAGTCTGGCTCTTGTCAAGATTCTTCAAAGGTTGAGCAACGTAAAACAGCTTACTGCTGCAGGAAATGCAGGAGAGTTATTGCTGTAGAGGACAATGTTGTAAGTCATGTTCCTGGTGAGGGTGAGTCTTGCTTTGATTGGAACCAAAGGAAGAGTGGTCATCCATCCATACAACAACAAAGAACAAGATTACTCATCTTTGTTTGTCGAACCTCTGAAATGGATGACTCCAGGTAGACTGTTGTTATTACCTTCCTCTTGGAGTATGAATCTGTATGGCCCATGAAATAGCTATTTGTGTTGCGAAAAAAAAACATATCATAGAAGCCTTGCACATATGGTTGTTTCCCATTGAATATAATATATTTTCATGATTTGATGCTTATAGGTCATCTTATAATAACTGAAACATGAATAAGTGAATATACTTGATGTTTGAGCAGTTGTACACCTGTTTGGTCTTAGTAGCGCAATTTTATTGCCCCATCCGTTTGTTAACTAAATCTTACACGGTTTCACCTGCCTTTGTTCACCTAGCAGTAGAAGACGGTGCTTTGGAAGGAAAGCTATCATGCATCCACTACGGAGCTCGGTTGGGATACTTCAACTGGGCAGGAATACAGTGCAACTGTGGCAGCTGGGTTACTCCTGCCTTCCAAATTGTTAAGAGCAAAGTTGATATCAGCACCATCTAGACCTCGGGTATTGGACCCCTACCATCGGCAAGTTTGAGAGACGAGGAGCATGGCACTGCTGTCGCCTGTCGTCTTAATATTTTGTGTACAATATGAACTATGCAGAATACAGTGAAGCAATAGCATCTTGTATGTTTTTCCATTGCTGATCAGAAGCTGTGTGCAGCAAACACCGTGTATTACGCATTTGCTGATGTAACAAGTTGCCGTGATGTTCACCGGTACTAGAGGGGGTTTCCCATGCAAATATTTAGGGCTACAACTCCATATTAGATCACTGCAAAGGATTCATGTCCAACCTCTCATAGACCGGATTGCCCATGCGCTACCAAAATGGAAAGGAAGATGGCTAAACAGTTGCGGGGCGTCTCACATTAGTAACCTTCAAACTCTCCTCCATGCCAACCTACCAGTCTAACAGTTCTCAGATTTCCTCTACCTTCGTGAACTTTTTGTGATTTCAGAAGAAGATAGATAAAATCATGAGGTCTTTCTTGTGGAAAACCTGTCTAGAGAATGCATGCACACAGAATTTTTCAATTTAAAAACATCTGAGCTATTGCAGACAAAAGACCTTGGGGTTTAAAAATGTAAATTCTTGACCTAGAGAAATTTGGGTTTAACTAAGTATCCGGAAAATAGTATGGCTTTTATGTTTTAAGAATGGGCGGATATATTCCAAGACTTGGAGCGGCTGAGCTCCTCATATTATAAATGATGACCGCCTCTTTCAACTCTTCAATCAATGTATCTTTGGGAGATGGTGCAAAGACAAGGTTTTGGCATCACAAATGGCTCGATGGACAAGCTCCTTAAGTACCTAGCCCGAACTAATTCCTTCGCTAGTCTCAGGACTAACCAAACATCGATCTCAAAAAACGAGATGCGAACAACAATTGGATACGTAAACTGGGAGAAAAATCACCTCGATTTAGGAGCTTGTATCCCTTTTCTCAATGCGTAGATGTGCACCTTTGTTATGATGTCCAAGACACCATCACGTGCGTTGGACCAATGACGGAATTTCTCCACCCGCTTGCTCATCCGTGACCGGGTCCAATTCGAGGTTCGCTCCCCCCCTCCGTGGATTTTAATTGATTTGGAAAGCGCATGTGGAGAACAAATGCAAGATCTTCGCTCGATCTTAGTGCAAGATAAAATTCTAACGGCTCGTAATCCTACAAAAGAGAGGGTGGCCGCACCAACAACAAAGGTGTCATGATCACCACGGGAGTTCCTTAGAAACAAGCCTCCACTTATGCCTTTGTTGCCGATTTGCCAAGGCGGTTTGGGATCAAATCCTATCGTGGAAAAACTTCACTCAACATGCAACAACAACTCCATGTGAACCTCACCTACATCAAGTCATGGTGGGAAGACGCAGCAGTGCCCGAAAGTGCCAAGATCTCGAGCGGAGGCGGCTCAACAGGTAGTTATCTACACCTTCCCGAATATATGGAAGGAGAGAAATAGGAGAATTTTTGACAACTTGATACAAACGGGGCCACAGGTAGCCGCAAGGATAAAGGAGGACATCCACCAAAGGAAGAGAGCTCTTGAGTACGTTTAGCTCACGGGCGTATGGGGGAAGGGGGGGATGAAACCTTAACCTCGTCTGTCTTTGCTTGTACATAAATTTTCTTTCCCTATCTTAATTGAAAGGCAGAGCTCCTGCCATTGTGTTCAAAAACAAGTTGCCGTGATGTCGGTGATCTATATGGCTGGAAATGGATCGAATACAATTTGAGCAGCGAAAGGCACACGTTAGTGTCTGTATTCTTTCATCAGTGTATTCAAATGCGTGCCCATTATGAATAGTCTTTCATTCATTTTTCAAGTTGCACATGTATCTTATGAAGATTCAAACTTTTTGTGATATGCAACCACCAAGTCTAACAGTTCTCAGATTTCCTTGCTACCTTCGTGAACTTTTTGTGATTTCATTTCTCATTCTTCAATGTACTGAACTATGATCATGAGTTTATCTTCATGCATCAAATTAAAAACCGGTCTAGCAGCGCAATATTCACACAGAATTTTTCAATTTGAAAACATCTGAGTATTTTGGTCAAAATGAAGCACTCTCTTTTTCCAAAAAAAAGTGTAATTCTAGATTTGAACTAAGTCAAATTTGTTTAAGTTTAACTAAGTATATAGAAAATAGTATCAATATTTATGTTTTATCTACTATTTAAATATATTCCATGGTTAATCTGACTTATCTCATATTATAAATGTTAGTATTTTTTTTTGTAAATTTAGTCATATTTAAAATTGTTTGACCTTACTAAAAAGGTCGGTGTACAATGCAGATTTGGAAACGGAAATGAATAGTGCAGGCGTGCAGATATCGGTAACAGAATCGCGAGGGTAGGGGCATCTGAGCCGTCCAGATTGGTACTTCTCGAGCCTTCGCCCTTCGCCGAGACGGCGAGACCCACCGTCCTCCCCGCTCCCGCTCGGCGACCTCTCCTCTCCGGCCACCCGCCTCCGCATTCCTCCCCCGCCGCCCGCGCCGGTTTCCATGGACTAGCATCCCCTTCCTTCTTCCAGTACCCACCCCCGCTTCCTCCTCCCTGTTTTCTTCCGGCTTGGGTGCCCATGGAGACCAGCGGTGCGGCGGCCGCCGCCACCACCGAGGTCGGCTGGTACGTGCTCGGCCCGAACCAGGAGGGCGTCGGACCCTACGCGCTTGCTGAGCTTCGAGGTGACTGCTTCCTTCACCCTCTCCCTGGCAATTTAATGCGTTTAAGTTCTGATGAGTTTTCTCTCTGAGGTCGTCCTTAGGGTTCAGTCTGTCCTGAATCAAGCTTCTTGCCCATTTTATTCTTGTTTACTCTGAAGTTTAGTTATCGGGTTGATTATTTCGCCGAGAAGGTTTCGTTTCAACGCTTTTGAAGTCGAATAGTTCTGTTCCTTCTTTTCCCCCAAATAATATTCTGAATGAAACAAATGTTGCTCCCTTTGCAGAACATTTTGCAAACGGTTATCTCAATGAGAGCACAATGCTCTGGGCAGAAGGGAGGAAGGAATGGATGCCACTCTCGTCCATCCCTGAGTTACAATCTGCAGTCACATCAAAGGATCAATCTAAACGAGGTTATATGTTATTGCCTTGTAGCCTTGTACTGTACCTGTAATGAAAATTTTGTATGGTTTTCTTATCATTGAACTTCTGTGCAGATGCTCCAGCAGTTGATGATGATTTTGAGAAATTTCAGAAGGAGGTTACCGAGGCCGAGGCAGAGGTGGACGAGCAAGATGATGAGCGGCCAGCAACCCCGCCGGATGGAGAGGAAGAATTTACTGATGATGATGGCACCATTTACAAATGGGACCGTACTTTGAGGGCATGGGTTCCTCAAGTAAGTGCTGATAATCTGTCTTTTCCATTCCTAGATAAATAAACTGCTTAGATCCATCAGTTGATTTATGTCTTTCCACCATTGAATTCATGACAGTTTCCTGAGCTTAGAACCTTAGGTCTTCTGTGCTTTCTTTATGAATTATCAGTATTAGATCATCTAATAGAAACTAGTGTTGGATGTGGTACATACTTGCATATCATTTCTTCAATTTATCTGTTACTATGTGGTACAACAGACTTATGGAAAGTATGACCCGCCATTTAGTAAACTATGGTTGCACAACGTTCATGTAATGTAATTTAAATTAGGTTTATTTGGGTCGTGTTGGCTTCCATCTTTCCACGGTAATCTATGGATTACTTGGGGATGTTGTAACCAGTCAAACTCTGCTTCTGTTTAATGAAATACGTGTTGCAAGGACACGCTCGCGAAAAAAACTTAGTAAACTCAGAAATTCTTGTTAAATTATTTATCATTTGAAGGATTGTACTAGTTTGGGAATTAATGCTTGGAGAACATTTAGTATTCTCACTCACATAAGATTTGCAAGAGCTTTAATTGACCTGAGCCCTGTTCTTTACTGTGTTATGTTCTAAAAAAAACTCGACCTGCTGGGGGTTATGACGGCCCCTGGGTATTTTGTTAAGAAGAATACCTTCTCTCACAGGCCGAGAAAACCCCTGAAATAGTCTTTACTGAGTTATGTTCTGAACTGTCTCATAACCTTGAAGACTGAAGCCATCTATTCATATAAATCAACCTTTCTTTATTCTAGAGCTTAGAAGGGCGGGCCTGGTGCAAGCGGTAGAGTCTTACCGCCTGTGACCGGAAAGTCCCGGGTTCGAGTCGCGGTCTCCTCGCATTGCACAGGCGAGGGTAAGGCTTGCCACTAACACCCTTCCCCAGACCCCTGCACAGAGCGGGAGCTCTCTGCACTGGGTACGCCCTTTTTTTTCTTTATTCTAGAGCTTACCAGCTCATTGGTTTCTTGCGTCTCACCATGATACTTGTAGTTTGCTTATGATTGAAGACACCAATGGGTGTGTTAGTTGTCGCCTTGTTTGGAAGTTTCAATACAAGAAAAAAACAACTATATTCTGTCCCACCAAATACTAAGTTGTGGTTTAGTTGCTAATGTACTTAGAATTGCTTTGATCTATTGGTAATGTTGGCAATAATAATGGTATATACATTGGGAGTTTTTCATTACATTTCACGTTCAGCTGTATTCTTTTGAGGAAAAAAACTTGCTTTCTTAATACTGTTTTTCCTCTCATCATTTTTTACAATTTCCTCTTCCTGTATGTCTTTATAGAATGATGCATCTGGTAGCAAGGAAAATTATGCTGTTGAAGAGATGATTTTTGCACTTGAGGAAGAAGTATTTCAGGCACCAGATATCCTGGGTCCTTCTGCACTAGAAGAAATCAACACTCTATCTGAAAGCAAAAACAAAGGATCAGATAAAGCAGAAACGAGAGGAGACAAGAAGCGGAAATCTTCTGAGAAGCCAGCTGAGAAAAAGGTATAGTTATCAAGTCTTCCTGGAGTTCTTTATAAGTTTGTGCATGTTGATTCTAGTCTTCATGGAACCTATTGAACTTCTGTGGTAGGAAGCTAACAAACCTCCGGACAGTTGGTTTGATCTCAAAGTCAACACACATGTCTATGTAAATGGTTTGCCTGATGATGTCACGGTGGATGAGGTAAATTGCTTCTATGAACTAATTCTACATTTCATTTCTCTTATGGAGATCATTTTGTTGAATGACCATGTAACAAATTCTTAATTAATTGGTTATTTAAAAAGTATTTGTTCTGAACTTCTGATGCTGGATTTCTTTTGCAGATTGTGGAGGTATTTTCCAAGTGTGGAATAATAAAGGAGGTATGCTTTTAGTCTGCTGTGTTGCAGAGACAAAATTGTTGTACTGTATCATTCATTCTTGATGTTGTTTTGATTTTTCTCACCCGTGAAAAGAATTAGTTTTGTCAGTATTTGGACTAATATATAGTTGCCATCTGAGAAAGTAACTAATTGGAATACTGGCAAAGGAACTTTGTAATTTAACTTATCAGAATCTTGGGACCTTGAACTAATCATGTCAAGGCTGTTCATTATTGCAAACTGTTCAACTCAGCAATTATGTATTTTACTGTCTAACCAAGCATTTAACAAATTTCAGCTTCCTTGCAGCATGCATTATAATACTAGATATTGGTACAGCTTTCCATTGGTCATCATAGATGGATAATATTAATTGTTGAATGTTGCAGATGCCTTAAATAAACTGAAAAAATTACAAAAATTTATGTGATATTTTATTTCGACTAGGTATTGCTGCTCTTATTAATAATATGTTATAAAAGCATACGGTTGTGCTGTGACATTTATATTTCTTTCCTGAACTTTAAAGCATTTAGACACCTTTAAAAAATGCTGATAATTCATAATACAGGACCCAGAGACTAAAAAGCCACGGGTGAAGATCTATACTGATAAGGAAACCGGCAGGAAGAAGGGTGATGCCTTGGTGACATATTTCAAGGTATCACCTTGTTAAATTTGTCAGATTATTTGGACTCATTACGCATTTATTTTCATGTGCCTTCTTTTTCCAACGATTCAGGAGCCTTCTTTAGCTCTAGCGGTTCAGTTGTTGGATGGGACATCATTCCGTCCTGGTGGTAAGACTCTTATGTCTGTAAGTCCAGCCAAATTTGAGCAGAAAGGTATTGTTTCGTTATGCTAAAACCAAATAGGCAAATACTTTATGTGCCATCAGCTTCAAAACTTGTCACTGATGCCATCACATGTGTTTCAGGTGATGTTTTCATTTCAAAGAAAACTGACAAGCAAAAGAAAAGGAAGATCAAAAAGGTCGAAGACAAAATGCTTGGATGGGGTAATTTGGATTGCTGTTTTTGGTAGTTGTTTTAAATAATATAGCTGATTCAAGAATAGGGTCTAATTTCATTTGTTTTCTTGATAATTTCCTCTATCTAGGTGGGCATGATGATAAGAAGCTGATGATTCCTACTACAGTAATTTTAAGGCACATGTTCACTCCGGCTGAGTTGAGAGTAAGTACCTGAAATATGCTTGATGCCTCCTGCAATATGTGCTCCTTTTGATCTGAGACAGCGCTTACTTGTACTTGGTTGCACATTAGATCATTCAGATTGTTCATATGAGGTTCATGCTTCATAACAACTTTATTTTCATTCTTGTTGGATTAACCAAGAATATCCTGCAGGCTGATGAAGAGCTTCTTTCTGAGCTTGAGACTGATGTTAGAGAGGAATGCGTCAAGTTTGGTCCAGTGGATAATGTCAAGGTACACCTAACCCCAGATATATAACTTTTTGTGAACTTGTCTAGAAAACAGATTCGACCAACTGCTTTCAAAAATAATCTTTTCACCATTTCAATAATAATAATGAGGTGCATATTTTATACAATGAAAATTAAGCCAAATAGGCATGGATTGGCCATAATTTGCTTAACTGTTCCTGTTGTATCCTTCTCTTTTTCCACCAAACCGCTGCAGTTACATTGATGTCCTTGTTGTTTTCTGCATGCAGGTTTGTGAAAATCATCCACAGGGTGTCATATTGGTGAAATTCAAAGATAGAAAAGATGGTGCCAAATGCATAGAGAAGATGAATGGCAGATGGTAAGTCAACAACTCAACACACACGATTCTTTCCCTTTGTTTCTGATGTGGCGATGTTAGCGGGGAGGCTGAAATGGAATTTTCGGCTCACAGCCTTGCACCTTCTGTCTGTTTCCAGCACAAACCATTTGTTATATTATTTCTTCATTGGCTTTCCTGTGAAATGTTGCGGAAAACTTATCTGATTAAAGATGACGAGTTACCCTCAGAATTGTGCATGTTTGCTTGTCTACACGTAGAAAATTATCTAGCATTTGTGCACCTGGATTGATCTGTTCTGATAGCATTTGTTCTCATTTCTTGCCTTGCAGGTTTGCCGGGCAGCAAATCCATGCGAGCGAAGATGATGGCTCTGTTAACCATACTCTTATCCGTGATTACGATGCAGAGGTGTCAAGACTGGATCGGTTTGCAGAAGAGTTAGAAGAGTCTACATAGAGGATATATATATATCTGGGATTGCCGACCTTGGCCCTGTTTGGTACAGCTTATCTGGTTAGAGTAAAAAAACGGCGGCTTATAAGGGGTCTGATCCGCGCTTTTAGTACCCATATAAGCTGCATAAATAAGCGTGGCAGAATAAAAAAAGCGGGCATCAAAATCAGCTTATTTTGGCCATAAGCAGCTTATAAGCTGTACCAAACAGGCCCCTTGTATGATAAGATAGCAGGAGAGTGGGAGTTTTGTGTTTTACCTCATTCATATGTTGGGTCCTTTCACCCCTGCGACATCAGAAATTTATTGTTGATTTCAGCTTATTTTTGCCATGCAACTAACATTATTTCCCATGCTAACATCTCACACCTGCTAGTAAGTAGAACCTGCTTGCAATGCTCGTCATATCACTAGCAAAGTAGCAGCACACTGCTTTGACAAAGGTGTCGTGTAATGAATGAGAAGTTCATTCAGATATCCTTCTAAAGTGTCAGTATTTTTATCTGAAATGTGGAAATTTTTATATTGTGCATAAACCACTACTAGCTAGTGCATTGCCTTCCAGACTGAAAATCTGAAATTACCATATGGCTGTAGTAGTTCCGTCAATTGCTTGACTGCAACAATTAAGCGACTCCCATCCAGTCCAGACTCCAAAGCTTGAGCAAAGCCTGGCCAGAGAAACGGCTGGGATGTCTTTACATTAGCCATGCTGCTGAGATATGTGTATTATACATACATGATAATAAGTTCGGTTTCTAAGAAATAAACTTGAGTTTGATCCCGAGTACCAGGAATGATGCTTCATTGCTCCTGGTGAGGGTGAGCCATGCATGTCTTGCTTTTCATTGCTCCTGTGATGAGGGTGAACCATGTCTTGCTTTGGTTAGAAACAGTTTGGTTAGTAGTAGAAGTGACGCGCCTACTTGTGCATAGCATGTGCTAATATATAGTTCAGCAGTAGTGCACCGAAATCTTTGTTTTGCATTGCTATGCATGCATGTGTGCAATTGTGCATATATAATGCCCCCTCCCTAGCTAGTAGTGATTTTATTTTTAGATAGACGAAGCTGCCGATGTCGATGACCTGAGGCAGGCATGCATGCATGCAACCAGAGAAATCCATCTCAAACTAGCCAGGTCTGGTTATTGACGAAGAAAACACACACACAGTATATAAAATCCGGAGTGGGCCAGCGTAATTTTAGCACAACGTTACCCTTGAAAAGAATGGTAGAGAGGCCCTCTCTCTGTATATGTAGAGAGATCGATCTAGAGAGAGACAGTCACACACACACAAACACTTACAGATGGAACTTGTAGATACATATACATCAAAGATGATGAGGTCGGCTAATGCAATTTGCCTCGTTGCATTCATCGTCGCCGCCGCCGCCGCCGCCTTCACGACGACAGAAGCAGCAGCAGCCGCGGCTGCAACTGCACCAGGGAGCGCTCAGGCAGCAGCGGCAGGTCCTGCACCTACTAACTCCCCTCTGGCTTCCCCCGCCGCGGTCGAATTCCTCCGAGGTCGCTGCAGCCCCGGCGTGATGCCAGAGGTGATCGCGCGCCACTGCTACGACTCCCTCCTCCCGCAGGCCGGGACCTTCAACGGCAGCTGCATCAGGGTCATCGGCGCCGCCACGAAGCTCATGGTCGCCAACTTCCGCTCCTTCCTCGCCGAGCTGCGGCAGCTCGATCAACAGCACCAAGCAGGGCGCCGGGTACAAGCTGGGCAAGTGCGCGGACCAGGCCGCGGAGTTCGCAGGCGTCGAGCCCGGCAAGGAGCCGGAGGAGATGGCGGAATTTTTTTTAATCCTTTTTTAATCAATATTTTAATACTAATCTAAAAAATATTTACAAATCTGACTTTTTTTGTCGCGTCACATGCGCTGGCGTGGCAAGCCGAGCCACGGTGGCGGCCGTCGTTGACCGACGCTGGTGTGGCGTAGCGTGGGCCTGGAGTGGGCCCCACCCTGTTGCGCCAACGACTCAGGCGCGACATCGCTATCGCGCTAGGCTGGCTGGCGCGACAGGCCCATATAAAGGCCGCGACCCACCTCCTTTTTTCTCCCTCTCCTCTCTCCCTTCATTTTGGGCGAGCTCGAGGTGAGCTGGTGTTGCTGTGTTCTCTCTTCTCTTTCTCCCATCCTCTATTTGCCTTTGATCAAGTTTGTATTTACATTTCAGGTTTGAACGGTCTCGTGCATGAGGTATGATGTAACACCCTCGGTGTTACGCCCTAAACAAATTACTACGTGATAATACATGTGGTGGAATGAATAGATGGAGTATTGCAACCTAAAATTATCAATAAAAATATTAAATGAGAAGCTATTACACAACTCATGTATATCAAGTAGGGTTTAAAATCAATTTTTATTGAACAAAAATACTATAGAACATATATGTGGCACTTAACTAAAGTTTGGAGCATGAACTTTATAGATGACAATGAAATACTTACTGTAGAAAAATAACATTGCTAGCGAGTGTTTCCAGTAGCATAGAAATGGAACTTGAAATCAAAACTAGCTTAAAGACAGAAAATTCTTAAGTTTAAAAACAGTTTGACAGCACTGGGTTTGCGAATTTATTCCGAGAAATTTAGTTAAAGATTAGTACTATGTTTTAGTTCTTAGGGGTAGCTTAATATGCTCTCTTGAGCATGGTGAAGGTGGCTTGGTTCCAAGATAATTCGTTTAGTTTTTACGGGTGCTTTAAAATTCGTGCACGACATAGCCTCGGGATGGTTGGCGCCGTGCGCACGGTCACCGCTCGGCCACCCCGCACCGCGCACATGGCCGCGTCCCGCGCGGTCACCCCATGCCGCCACGCTTAGGTCGGGCCGAGCCCACTGGCTTGGCTTGGCGAGGCGCATGAGCGAGCCATCGCCCAGCCCTGCTACCACCGCCTCGCCTCGATGCCACCATTGGTGCCGCCATGGCCATGGTCACTGCTGCCGCCGCCGCCGCCATCGCATCCGCACCCCCTGCGGCTCTCGCACGCCATTGTCGCCGCCCTTCTGGTGGCCCTACTGCTGCTGTGTGCGCGATTGGCGTATCCATGACATCAGCACATGGCCGTAGCTGCTGTCGCCTCGCCCATAAAGGCGCGGTAGTCGCTCATGCCGTGTCGGTCGCAGACGCGCGCACGCCTTGTCCGTAGCGCCTGCGCGTCCTGATCACACCGCTCGCGTCCCGCCAAGGCGAGGACGAGCTGAGCTCTGACCTACCCCCCTCTCTCTTCGTTGCTGCCATGGTGGACTGAGCCATGCCATTAAAACAAGAAGGGAGAAGTCACCATCACCCGATTCATTGCGTCGCTGAGCTCCTTCACCCAACTGCCTAGCTACCCGCCCCACCCCGCCTTGAATGGCGCCCGGTCGAGCTTCAATTTTGGAGCTTTTCCCTGTCACTGTGCCGATAAGGCCGAGTCCACCCATCGCCGAGGGCAGCTTCCATCTAACCACCTCGGGCCAAATTGGCTGCACCGCTAGACTCCTCTTGAACCCCTCCTCGCCATGTGCACCTGAGTCCATACCCCTACCGCTGTTCCAATGCTACTAACGTGGTCGTGTCCACCGCGGCTCGTCGCTGAGCTCGCCGCGCGTACTCAGCCAGCCTTGCTCGGGGCGTCTCCGGTCGAACCATCGCCTCGGCCGGGTCCTTGGTGAGTCGCTAATGCTGACCCACTACCTCTACTGCTCCCTTAGCACCGTGGCTGGAGAAGTCACCCGCTGACGTGGAGAAGTCACCCTACTTCATCTCCGGTCTCCGAATCGCTACCCATTGTTGTGTGTTGGCCCGTAGGTGAGCATCGGTCCTCTAGATGGGTCAAGGGAGTCCCCAGTTGGCCGACGTAGCGGCCCAGTGCCGATCAATGCTACGCGTCGACGAGCGCGGAGGCGTTGGGGACCTCCCCGATGCGAAGACGAGTTAATACAAGGGCCTTCTTACATAAACGTTGTCTATAGAAATAGTGCGCATAGTCGTCGTGTTAATAGAGGATAGCACGGGGGTGTTTCTGCAAAAGCACCAGCACGCGCGTGCTTCTCCACCGTGGGCCGGCCTCGCGTGGGCCGCGGAAGCGGGCCGCTGCGTGCGCTGCATGCTGTGTCACGTGGGCCGCGTGGGAGATTGGTTTTCTTTTTTTCTAGGAATATGTGAATGGTTTTCTAATTTAATTTCTGAACTGATCTTTGGTAATTAATATAAAATCATGTAGGTGTCCAAAAATTATGAAACAAATTTTGTTAAGTTTCTAAAATTATGATCTATCTGTTAGTGTATTTAGTTCATATATATATGTTTTGATACCAGGATCTATTAAATCGTTAGAAGTGCTTCATATTATTGAAATGAATCATTATAGATATTTTCATGGTAAATAAGTGATAGCTTTAGTCCTGAAATTTTTATGGTAGCTTCATTGTATTATTATGTGCTCACTATAATTTTTATAGCTTTAGAATGGACTAAGCATTAGGGTAGTTAAATGCTCTTTATTTCAATATATATTAAATCATTAGTAGAAATAAAGATATATCATTCATTTGTAAAGCTAGGTGTTTGTTAGTTGAACCCAACATTTTGCTTGGTAAAGATGATAGTTAACTTAGTACCTTAGTCATTAGAGCTAACTTAGTAGCTTAGTTTAAGAGTTATTGTTGCCTAAATGCTAAGTATTGCATCATCATCTCATTCATGTAGAGAACGAGTTGGTAGGGATCGTGACCACCGGCAATCATGAGTTCGAGGAGATCGTCGAGGAGTACGAGGAGGAGATTCTTATGTAGAAGGAGGTCCCAGAGCCACCATTGACTGACTCAGCTGACACCGTGCCTGCCCATGGCAAGCCCCGGTGCATAACCTCTATTTTATAATTCACCGTATATATATGTGTTGTGCATTTACGTTACAGAAATTTTATGGAAACCACATGCATAGATATACCTGTCCTAAGAGTATTACTAGTGCAGGTTCGAGTAGATGCTATGCTTAGGTCATCGGTAGCGTGAGTAACCTGCCGTTGCTCACAATAGGGGATTATTATTACTCTCATAATAAAATGATGAAAGGAAAAATGGAGACAGGACAGGGATATGTCATGGATATTGGTGGGTGTAACAGGTTGTGTCCCACGGTCAATGGGGCTTAGCTTGGTTACACTATTTTCCCTATTCATGTCGATTAAGGATTGTCCGTTGCTGTGGATGGTAGTTAGGTCACAAACTTATTATCCTGAGCACATACTTTCTTATGGGAGCGAGAAGGCTCGTTACGCTATTGTTGTGGGTTCCGTCTCTTTTCGGACTGACTGATTGGAGGCGGGAAAAGGTAGAGGTCTAAGCACGATATTGAGACCAGGTCTCAAGTGTGGGGGCTTGGAGTCCAAGTTTGGATGGGGACCTAGACCCCGTGACAGGAGTGGATTGGGTTGGTCTTGTTTGTGCTTGGGGTACAAATGGGGCGTGTATTTCGGGGTACCCAGCTGGGATACATTGGTTCATGAATCTCCGTTTCTATGAGACGGTACGACTTGGCTATGGTCTAGCACCGTAGTAAGAACTGAAAGATGAAGGATGGCGAAATGGTTCTGATTGCTTAACCCTCGCTTGAAAGTAGAACAGGTGCTTACCTAGAATGGTTAGCTAATGAAGTAATCATGACTGCTAATAAAACTTGACTGTATGGATGAACTATTAGTAATGCTTTTCACAAATAAAAAGAAAACAACAAACCCATATTGCCTATCATATCCTTGAGAGTCAGAAACTATTCCCACTAGTCGGGTAAATCTTGCGAGTACATTGTTTACTCAGGGTTTATTTTACCCCTGTTGTAGGTGTAGCTTGAGGAGTAGCTCGTGTGGAGGATTCTTCTAGTGGGCATAGATGCATCCTTGTATCATTTTCGCTAGATGTTTCTTTTTATTCTGTTGTTTAATTATCACACTCTGAACTCTGGTATTGTAATAAATAATTTTTAAAAACTCTGGTTGTATGAAATGGGCTAAGTATTGTAAGCTCATACTCATTATTGGATTCTAGATGTAAAACGTGGATTGTTTTGAGTTCTCCCTTGGGGTGTGCTCGATGGAACGGTCCGAGGTAGCTCACTTTCAAGGTGCTTAGTGTCTAGTGGAAGACGAGCGCTTCCGAAAATTTGTTATTCCGAGCAGTTCTGCCACATATGACTCCCTCACCTCTATTTTTTTGTGTTTAGTTGATGTTTATATACTGCTCTGGTTTACACTGCTGTGTGTAATACTGACTTTTGTTTGATTTAATGAAAGTTGCTTTGGCTAATCACGTCTAATATATTATGGTTCATGTTGTACTTATTGAACTTTTATGATTTTTGTGATTGGTTTTGGTTGGTAGTGCATTAGGGTTTGAGTGCACTGGTTTACATAGTAGTATGGGTTGGACTGTTGTTAGTAAACTTTCTTGGAAGTGTGTGATTAGAAGTTTTTTTGTGGTGATTAGATATATAGATGAGTTGGACTATGTATGTATAGACATCATTTACATTCAATAAGTTTGTTTTAGGGTTTGGCTTCAAGGGTGTATATGATTATAGAGATGATTGAGATGGAAATTGTTGTTGAACTGTGTAATAGTATTGGTTCATATCTTTGCTTTGTTGAACTACTTTGTAATAGGTTCAATGGTGGTTCCAAATGACAACCAATTTGTGCACCATCCGAAGGATCATGGTGCTATCGATCCTTTCCTACCAGCAGAGCCAACATCATTGTGTTATTGTGGCTTACCGGCATTTGTGAAGCAGTCAAGCCATCCCACGTCAGCTAGGCGTGCTTTCTACCATTGCCAATTTAAGCGTCGTACATCGACACTTGATGCCTACCTAGAGGGATGCAGCTTCTATCAGTGGATCGACGGTGATGAAATGTTTGATCCATCGATTATGTTGTTTCCTTATGACCCCTAGAAGAATGTTCCATATTCGAATTTGTTCGTTGGGTTTTGCCGCCACCGAACCCTCCAAAAATGACAAAGGCGGAGAAGGTTGACGCTGCTTTGCGCCATCTAGCCAATCCTCCTAGATGCCATTATGGAGTGTCGGCGCTACTAACTACTCCTAGCCAACATGGAGCATTCACTGCCTTCTATCGATGTGGATTGCTAGATTATGAAGTTCTCATGAAATCAATCTATCTCTAAGCTTGTATGCGTTTTACACATACAATGTTACACTTGGAACATTTGTTTTTTGTAGAGAGGATTCCCATCTTGTGACTATGAGGAGTACAATTATGGACCCAAATCGCATTGGCCTTCCGAGTATGAATTTGCGGAGTTTCAAGCAGGCATTAAGCCATGGCCATGCACAAAGATGCCGGACCGTAAGTGCAAGTGTAGCATCAAGGCTCGCGAAGGAGTTGTTCCGTCTAAGTTAGGATACGGATACTACTGTGGTAATGCTTATGGAGGGATGTCTGAGTTATGGGTGAGTTGACTGAACCAGTGAAGTTACTACATGAACATAGGACACCGGTTTGTTTTCTCATTGCTTTGTGTTTGCTTAGGTAGGGAGGACATGCAATTGGGAGGACTTCACTGGTCATGGAGAGTTAGTGGAGAGGCTGAAGATACATTCGCCTCTCGAAAAATATAGGAATCATTGGATGTGGGAGGAGAAGCAGATGTAGGTGAGGATGAGGTACGGGGTAGAGATGCCATCATGGAAGACCCATAACAGGATTTTAGAGGACTTTCCTCGAGCGACCGGTCGACAGCTGAATTTTGACAATAACGAGACCGAGTTGATGAGCTTCTAGCGACAAAACAAGGAGGCCTATGACTTTAAGGAGGCCGAGGATAAGAGTGAGATGGCCTTTTTCCACCAGCATTTGTGCCGCTTATGTGAATAATTGATTTCGAAGTTTGTTTTGACTTGTGCATCTTCTTACAATTGTTGCCAATGAGACATTGTTTGGTTCTTGTAGTCCTCGATGATGCACCAAACGATGGCCATATCCCCGCACCCATGGAGGAGGAGGGACGATGACGATGACAATGACCATGACCATGACGATGAAGATGGCAAAGATGAGGACGATGAGTAGTGTTTCCTCTCAACTGATGCCTACAAGGTGCAGTACATATTTTACAAATGCCAATAGGTTTGGCATTACGTAGGTTTTGTATATGGTAGATGGAGGACTGGTACGATAGCGGTGCTTCTTTTGTGCAAAGGCAGCAAGAACCATACATATTTTGCAAATGGCCTGGGGTTGCCATTTGGTAGTACTTGTTCATGGTAGATGGAAGACTAGTGTTAGTAGTAGTGCTTGTATATGCTAGATGGAACACTTATGTAAGTAATGTTGATGATGATGACCTTTGAACAATGCTTCAAACTCCTTATCATGTGTAATGCTTCGAACTCGTTATGGTATGACTCCTTATGGTGTGTAATGCTATGTGAACAAAGTTTCGAAACCATGAAGAAAATATAATTTCAATAAGTTATGAAATGGTGGACTTAGTAAATGGTTTCACAAAAATAACGTCACTTGGAGGAAATTGCCAAGAAATTTGGTGTTTGGAAAAAACATGAAGAAAATTCAATTTTAAGGACGTATGTTTCGAAAAAATTCACGAAACATAGCACACTTGGAGGTAAGGCCGAAGCTTGTTGATTTCCAGGACTGTCACGCTAGGCACAGTGGCGTGACAAGCCTATCGCGCCGTAGTCGATGGCGTGACAAGGCTGTCGCACTACCCGTCATTGTACTCCATTCTCAATGACCCATCAGCTAGGACTCCTATTGTGCCCGAAAACCCTCCCTCACAATAATCACTTTCGTCCTCGCTACTAGGCTCAGACATGTACTTATCCTCCAACAAATCATCCGAAGTACTTGTCCTCAAAGTAAAGTCATCTTCGTTCGTGGAGGCAACATCAACTTCATCATCCTATGATCCTTCGAATATGTCATCCATATCATGTATTCCATCTCCGTCGCCATCGTCCTCATCAAACGTTTCTTCATCGAAATCATCATTCAAGGCACTAGGCTCACATGACCTATCAACTTCTCTAACGACAACCGCCTGCAACTCTTCATCTTGGGTAAGGTTCTCTACAGGCTCCACATCCAAATTATCATCCATAGCCACCACAATTGGGCTAGACCCCTTCTCCACAACAACTTCCAAGCACCTAACACTGCTACTCTTGACAACTTCTACGTAGTTCTTCCATTCATCCTCACATAACAAAGACATCATCACATAGTGTGCTCGTTCCTTCCCACAGTCAAATCGACCTCTCAATCTTAGTGGCCACCCAAATTTATCTCGGCATTGGCTAACCAAACCATCAAAGGTGGAGGTGTACTAAAGAACCGAACATGTTCTTGCATGCTTTTAAACTCCCCATTTCCTTTAACTTTGCCACCATAAAATAATCACACTAGCCGATCCATCTACAAAATACGAACGAACACATCAACAACACATGAACTACACATTTCGGAAATAAATCATGTCCATTCACTAATACAATACAATAACACAAACTTCATAGTGATGTTAACAAAGCCAATAAGCATACCGATCTAAATCCACCATGCATCAACTACCTACGTCCATGCAACACGTAGCTTACGTCTAATTCACGGGCAGAATATATCCTAAACCTAATCTACGCATCAAATACTAACAAGCAACGATAAAACCATTCACACCATCCCTAATTTCCTAACCCTAATCATGCAACTCATGAGGCAAGAAATCAAGAAATCGAGGGGGGAAGATCAACCTAGCTATCTACGTGACTCCACAGACCACGGAGGTGAGAGCCACTGTTGGGGGAAGTCGCAGCCGGTGCCGCCGCCGCCGCCGGGAGAGCACCAGGCAGCGGCCGAGCCGCCCGCCTCTCCTGGCGCGGTAGGCCTACGGAACAAAGAGAGAGAGAGAGAGAGAGGGAGTAGCACCAGCAGTCGCTCAACTCCCCTGTGGTGACCGAAGATAGTGAGGACGGCCGGAGGTGGCGGGGTGGCGGTGGAGGCTTGCTGGCGGCGTCGGCGCCCAGGCCGCTCCCAGGCTGCGCCCTTCTCTTCCCTCGCCGCATCAGGAATGGAGGGAGATGGAGAGGGAGAGGGAGGGGATGGGGTGGCACGGTGGCGGCGGCCCATCCGAGCTTGCGGGGTGGTAGCGGCGCGCGGCTTCATGAGCGCAGCATGAACGCGGCAAGAGAAAGAGAGAGAGAAAAGAAATGGGCCAGCCGGCCAAAACCTAACTCAGCCTATCACGCCAGCCCGCCTGGCGCGACAGCGCTGTCGCGCCTGAAGTCACTGGCGCGATGGGGCAGGGCCCACTCCAAGCCCACGCTACGCCACGCTAGCGTCGGTCAACAATGGCCGCCACCATGGCTCAGCTTGCCGCGCTAGCGTATGTGGCGCGACAGAGTGGCACTGTAACACCCTAAAATTTATACTTTTGAAAATAGGTTTAAATGATTCATTTTGGTTTTCTATGTGCTAATGAAAATGTAGGAAATAATTTTTTTTCATTAAATTAAAATTTACCATAGGAGTAGCAACATAGATGTGCATACATGTCGGTGCATTTGATTTAATTGGTTGAGAGGTTTAGAATAAATCTCAAAATGGTTTAAATTGTATTTTGAAAAGAATTTGAAAATGGCTTTGAAATGTATTGAAAAGAAAAAGAGAATTGGAAAATAAAAAGTTTTAAAAAAAGTTGTAAAATTTATTTTTGCAAGCCTACCAAAATTTCACATTTTTATTTGAATTGAAAAGTGTATTTGAAACCCTATTCAAACTTGATTTGGTTCATATTTGAACGTTGGTTTTGAAATAGGAAAAGAAAATAGAAAAGGAAAATGGAAAAAAAATCCTCTCTTCTCTTCTGCCGGCCGGCAACCTCTCTCTCCTGTTGGATCTAATCCCCCTGTCCATCACCGATCCAACGGCTCAGATCTCGCCATACCCCTTCGGCCAATAGTTTTTCAAAAAAGCCCTCGTATTTTTATTGATTAGAACCCGTCGTCCCTGTACTTTTGCTAAAGAGACCCTCAGGTTTTGAATAATCTAACCCATAGTCCATGGTGCACTTCCAGAATATGTTTTCATATTCTAAAAGCGTAGTTTCTTTCTAGTAGATTCAAAATACGCTTTCATCTATTTACAGTTTTGCCACTAGTTATCTATAGGCCATAAAATCTCCGTTTTAACTCCGATTTGACCCGTTCAAGTTGCGTTAGCTTCGTAATTGCATAATCTACGTATTTATACTACTGTTAAATATATTTTCAACTTTTAAATTTGATGTTAAAATTTAATCTATTAGTTTATTAAAGGAAATCTTATTTAGTTCATAACTTTTCCGTTATAGCTCCGATTAGCGTGCTTTTTACGTCTGTGTGTTCGTAGTAATGTGTAGAACATCTTTAAAACTTTTTTACTTGCAATTTCATATGTTTGGTATACTGTTCTAATTTAGTTCTATTGTTTGCTTCATGTATGATTGCATGGATGCTTGTGTGGTGCTTTATGATCTTGTTCAGTCGGTGAGCTTTACGTGTTGATCAAGGAGTTCCTTTGAAGTTTTGGACTTGAAGAAGGATCAGAGTTTAAGGCAAGTATAGCATAGGATCTTCCTTGTTGTCCTATTCACTTTAATACTCTAATCATATGCATGTGTCTACCTTGACAACCGTAGTAATTTTCCTAGCTCTTTGATATACTGGATTCCTTGATACCTATGGGGTATTACATTGGGTAGTATCATGCTAGTGCTCTACTACAACCATGATCTTGTAACTTGACTAATGGAATATGCAATAAACACTAAAATATGCTTTTTAGCAATATGTAACAAGGAGGCTAGAGCATTGGGCTGTTTTTATGGTGCTCTAGATTTCTCTTCCTAAGGACTTATCTATAAATGATCATCCGGGACTTACAGTACAACTATGAGGGCTATATAGCTCTGGCTTTAGCTCAGTATGATGACCTTTTCTAGCTTGTTAGTGGTTACCTTTATTGGCGTAAGAATGGCTTGATGAATCGGGTATAGTGCGGCCTATGTCCCCTTGTGTATAGGCTGCGTGTTATTGTGCCATCGGGAAGGGGAGCTCTACATCTGTTTGCCGAGTGAATCTAATGGTCCTAACTTGGTAGACGAACCTTTGAAAGGCTTCATAGTGAACCCTGCCAACCTTTCTTGGTAGTGGATTAAGAGGCTGATCACCTCGGGCGAAAGGTTAAATCATGACTCACAGTGAAAGTGTACAACCTCTGCAGAGTGTAAAACTGGTATATCAGCCATGCTCATGGTCACGAGCGGCTTTAGAACCCTTACGGAATAGATGATGAACACTGATGATTGATGATACTGATGATACAGATGCTCACTAATGATTACCGTTTATGCTATTCATTATTCATGTTTACCTGATCATGTGTTGACATGGGCTTGTGATAAACTTGTTGCTACTCAATTGCTAAAATCATGACTCATTAAAAGCTAATCATAGTTAAACCAGTGTTAGCCTTTTGAGCCTCATGAACCCTATGTTATATTTGTTGAGTACGATATGTACTTACGCTTGCTTTACTTTTTAAATCTTTAGAAAAATCCCGGATGAGTACCAGATTGCTAGAGTTTGGAGGAATTAGGCTTGTGATCAACCAGTCAGTTGTCCCTGTGGAATTGGAGTCTTCACCCATGGATCAAAGTTGTCTTTTGCTGTTTGTTATCTAAGATTATATTCTTTATACTAAGTACGTTATATATTGAGCATTGTCTTTCGATATTACCCTTATTTGTAGCTATTTATGAGATTTGACTTTCTAGGCTCACATATGATGTGTATCTAGTTTTGTTCTTAAAACCGGGTGCTACAAAGTAGTATCAGAGTAATGCTGACTGTATGACGCAAGCCTAGTAGAAATTGGTCGTTCTAAGGTTTAGAAGTTGCTACAAAAACCCTTGCTCTATGAACTTTGATATTTTCTTCTCTACTATATCTCTATCCTTGCTATTCATCTCTACCATGGTTCTTATTTTAAAGTCTTTGTTCTTATCTTCACTCCTTAATTTGATATGCTTTTAGAACTGTTCCTCACCACCTTCCTATGGAATCTAAAGATGAGTCTTAGGATTGTTACCCCTAGTACAATGAGGACGATAGTATCGTAAGTTGAGTCAATGATTGAATTGTGCACCTTTATTGCTTTGTTGAATTATCATTATGCTTATGCTTGTTTTGAATCTTTGTAATTATTGTAATGATCTTGTGGGGTTTGACCATAATTTCATTTAGTTATAGGCCTAAGGTATAAGGATTAATAAAATAAATAGTCGGGCTTTGGTTATCTCATGTTTTCTCTATCCTGTCTTTCGGAGCAAGCTACCCCTTTTGTTGTAACCCTAGTTTATCTTTTCTTAAGGGGGTAGTCAAGTTAAAGAATTTGTAAGATGAAGTATCATACGTTCTAGTTTGCGCAATGAAAGCGTGGTGGCCCATAACGCACAAGTTCTACGATTGGATTACTCGAGGAAGTGAAGAAGTTTTCAAAAGCAGAGTATCCATCTCTTGGATTACCATCTTTCGAATCTCGAGGACGAGATTCATCTTAAGGGGGTAGAATTGTAACACCCTAAAATTTGTACTTTTGAAAATAGGTTTAAATGATTCATTTTGGTATTTTATGTGCTCATGAAAATGTAGAAAATAAAATTTTTCAATAAATTAAAATTTACCATAGGAGTAGCAACATGATGTGCATACATGCTGGTGCATTTGATTTAATTGGTTGAGAGGTTTAGAATAAATCTCAAAATGGTTTAAATTGTATTTTGAAAAGAATTTGAAAATGGCTATGAAATGTATTAAAAAGACAAAGAGAATTGGAAAACAAAAGAGTTTAAAAAAAGTTGTAAAATTTATTTTGAAAGCCTACCAAAATTTCTCATTTTTATTTGAATTAAAAAGTGTATTTGAAACCCTATTCAAACTTGATTTGGTTCATATTTGAATGTGGTTTTGAAATAGGAAAAGAAAATGAAAAAGGAAAATGAAAAAAAAAATCCACTCTCTTCTCTTCTGGCCGGCCGGCAACCTCTCTCTCCTGCTGGATCTAACCCCCATCGTCCATCACCGATCCAACGACATAGATCTCGCCATACCCCTTCGGCCAATAGTTTTTCAAAAGAGCCCTCATATTTTTATAGATTAGAACCCGCCGTCCCTGTACCTTTGCTAAAGAGACCCTCGGTTTTGAATAATCTAACCCGCTGTCCATGGCGCACTTCCAGAATATGTTTTCATATTCTGAAAGCGTAGTTTCTTTCTAGTAGATTCAAAATACGCTTTCATCTATTTACAGTTTTGCCACTAGTTTTTTTAGGCCATAAAATCTCCGTTTTAACTCCGATTTGACCCGTTCAAGTTGCGTTAGATTCATAATTGCGTAATCTACATATTTGTACTACTGTTAAATATATTTTCAACTTTTCAAATTCGAGGTTAAAATTTAATCTATTATTTTATTACTAAAATCTTATTTAGTTCGTAACTTTTTCGTTATAGCTCGAATTAGCGTGCTTTTCGCGTCTGTGTGTTCATAGTAACGTGTAGAACATCTTAAAAATCTTTTTACTTGTTGTTTCATATGTTTGGTATACTACTCTAATTTAGTTCTATTGTTTGCTTCGTGTATGATTGCATGGATGCTTGTGTGGTGCTTTATGATCTTGTCCAGTTGGTGAGCTTTACGTGTTGATCAAGGAGTTCCTTTGAAGTTTTGGACTTGAAGAAGGATCAGAATTTAAGGCAAGTATAGCATGGGATATTCCTTGTTGTCCTATTCACTTTAATACTCTAATCATATGCATGTGTCTACCTCGGCAACCGTAGTAATTTTCCTAGCTATTTGATATCTTGGATTCCTTTATACCTATAGGGTATTGCATTGGGAAGTATGATGCTAGTGCTCAACTACAACCATGATCTTATAACTTTACTAATGGAATATGCAATAAACTCTAAAAGATGCTTTGTAGCAACATGGAACAAGGAGGCTAGAGCATTGTGCTATTTTTATGGTGCTCTAGATTCCTCTCCCTAAGGACTTATCTGTAAGTGATCATTCGGGACTTATAGTACAACTGTTAAGGCTACATGGCTCTGGCTTAGCTCACTATGAGGACCTTTTCTAGCTTATTAGTGGTTATTTTTATTGGCGTAAGAATGGCTTGACAAATCGGGTATAGTACGACCTCTGTCCCCTTGTGTATAGGCTACGTTTTATTATGCCATCGGGAAGGGAAGCTCTACATCTGTTTGCCGAGTGAATCTAATGGTCCTAACTTGTTAGACGAAACTTTGAAAGGCTTTATAGTGAACACTGCCGACCTTCCTTGGTAGTGGGTTAAGAGGCTGATCACCTCGGGCGAAAGGATAAATCACGACTCACAGTGAAAGTGTACAACCTCTGCAGAGTATAAAACTGGTATATCAGCCGTGCTCATGGTCACGAGCGGCCTTAGAACCCTTACGGAATAGATGATGAACACTAATGATTCGTGGTACTGATGATACAAATGCTCACTAATGATTACCGTTTATGCTATTCATCATTAATGTTTACCTGATCATGTGTTTACATGGGCTTGTGATAAACTTGTTGTTACTCAATTGCTAAAATCATGACTTATTAAAAGCTAATCGCAGTTAAACCAGTGTCAGCCTTTTGAGCCTCATGAACCCATGTTATATTTATTGAGTACGACATGTACTTACGCTTGCTTTACTTTTTAAATCTTTAGAAAAATCCCGGATAAATACCAGATTGCTAGAGTTTGGAGGAATTAGGCTTGTGATCAATCAGTCAGTTGTCCCTGTGGAATTGAAGTCTTCACCCGAGGATTGGAGTTGTCTTTCCGCGGTTTGCTATGTAAGGTTATATTCTTTATATACTAAGTACGTTATATATTGAGCGTTGTCTTTCGATATTATCCTTATTTGTAGCTATATGTGATATTTGACTTCCTAGGCTCACATATGGTGTGTTTTTGATTTTGTTCTTAAAATCGGGTGTTACAGGCACTATTACGCTAGCCACGCAGGCGTGGCCAAAAGATCAGATTTGCAAATACTTTTTTATGAATTAGCATTAAAATATTAATTAGAAAAGATTAAAAAATGAAAAAAAATCGTAAGCTGGCCAGGGTCAGGGAGCTGGCCGCCATGGGCGACGACAACAAGGTGGAGTCCGTGTACGACCTCGTTTCGTGGATGAACAAGGTGGGCACCAACTTTGAGGGCTGCCAGGCGGAGATGAAGGCCGTCCCCGACACCGACAAGCTGCTGCCCACCAAGGCAGTGATGTACCCCTCCACACTCGTGGCCCAGGGTCTCGTCAGCGGCTACACGCCGCCCCAGTCCCAAATGTAATCGTACGTCGTCTCATGCATGCATGGTCCACTGTCACAACTCACAACATATTCTCTGTTGAGTGTTCACAGTTAATAACTTGTTACCGTATCAAATAAACGAGTATGTATGTTCTCCGTTGTTGAAATATTATAGAGCAAGTGAAACAAGTATTGGTGGTATTTATTCATTATGTGTTTGGTTTGAGGAATGGGTGGTCTATTATTAGTTTTTCACTTCTCATATTTATATTTACTTTGTGGAATAGAATGAGTCAGATCCGTCTCTATAGTTTTGAGGGTCTAAGGACGACCTGTAAGACCTTTATTTGACTATCTTTTAATTTTGTACTATCTCCGCTCCAAATTATAAGTCGCTATGACTTTTGTGGTATATCAATTTGCTATGTATCTAGATATAATGTATATCTAGATACATAGCAAAATCTGTGTACTAAAAAAAATTAAAGCGACTTATAATTTGGAACAGAGAGAGTAATATATATGACTAGCAAATATGCATATATATTGCAACGGAATCCAAAATGTATAGACACTACAAGAAATCTGAGGATCTATGATGATTTTTTTGTGATGATGAGTCGATTCGTCAACAAGTCATTCCGTTTTATGATGACTTTCAGGAGGAGATCAACTTTCTGACGCAAATTATATGTTTGTCATTAAGACACAATAAAAATCGTAATAACCTAGAGGAGTAGTTTATGATGATCTCTGTTCTGTCATAACATGTTGCGTACCTTGCAGTTGTCATAAATTATTGACAATATTAGTTTGTAAAATTTTTATCTTAACTTTAACATGAATAAGCTAGCCCACGTGTCCTATTATTTTCAAGCACCAGGTCATAGATCCTAAGATTTCTTGTGTAGTGAGAAATCAAATTCCATATGGTCGCTAGATACGAGTTGTTCTAACTCCAGCGCGGGTCATGAGTCCGGGTTTACATACGAGATATGTACGTAAGCGTGACCCAATATGTATTAGAATCGGGCTTCGTATTCATCATCGCAAAACGCGAGTTGTCCTAACTCATATGAGTATGGGTCATAAGTTCGGGTCGCTTACAAGACAGGAAGTGCTGCCCTAGTACTTAAAGGCCCCGTTCGCATGCCCTTAAATCCGGCTTGATCCGCTTCTTTTTTCATCCGGAACAATGTTTTCCTCTAACAAATTCCTTCAGATTCCTCCAAACGAACGGGGCCAAAGTGAGACGCACGGAAAAACATAGGTGGAGAAAAATCATGATTCATTAATATTAGATATAGATAAAGTAGGTACTAGTAGCACTAGTAAGCTAAGAGTTAACTACTTATTAATAGTAATAGCTAGCTAACTATTGCTAATAGTAATAGCTCTAGCTAACTATTAGCTGGTTTAATCCCACTAGTGATATAGTTGTTAGTTGCGAACTGATTATAGATCAGTTGGTTGAGTTTCTTGTGGTGGAACCTGCCCACCCAGATTCAAGTCCTCGATTTGATACGGGTGCTCATTTTTTTTGGATTTATTTCAGGATTTAACGGCGCTATGCATTCAGTGGTAGCCTGGACGTCCCTGTCAACAACGAGACTCCTGTAGTGACTTTGTGAATTTCAAGATCTACCGGCTCAGTCCTTCAGAGGTACTCATAGGAGTAGGGTCTGCGTATGTGTATTCATAGAGGTGAATGTATGTGCGTGTTGTAGGCGTCTATGTTGTACTGTACAATTCTTAAAAAAAGAGATAGTTGTTAGTTGGATATTCCACCATACCCATTTAGATCAGAAAAAAGCTAATTATTAACCACTAACTATTATAGTTGTTTGCATCAAACAGGGCTATGGTTTTTACTAGCTCTATTATTTTAAAGATGTGACCTGAGTCCCGAGGTGCGTGCAACCAGAGGACTCTCAAACCATGTTCGGTTATTGGTGAAGAAAGAAACACAGTATAATCTGGAGTGGGCTGGCGTAATTGTAGCACAGCCCTTGAAAAAATAGTGGTAGATGGGCTCTCTCTCTATATCTATACACAAACTACTGACCATCATACGAAGATGCATGCATGCATCTCATCTCTAGATCAAGTGCACTGAATTCTGTGCTAAAAGACATACGCACAAAATATGGCGGTTGCTAACAATGCCGGTTGCCTCGCCGTGTTGCTCGTCGTCGCTGCCACCTTCATGGCACAGCCACAGGTAGAGGCTCCTTCTCCGTCCCCTGCAGCCGCAGCGGGAGCAGGCGGCGGCCCTGCTGCTTCCCCCGCCGCGCTTGAATTCCTCCGGCGTCGCTGTAACCCTGGCCCTGACATCATGAAAGAGAAGTACGTGGGCTACTGCTACGACTCCCTCCTCCCGCGCGCCGGGTCCTTCAACGGCAGCCGCCTCAGGGTCGTCGGCGCGGCCGTCGAGGTCTTGGTCGCCAACTTCCGGTCCCTGCTCGCGGAGCTGCGGCGGCTCAAGAGCACGAGCGGCGGCGGCGGCGGCGCGGCGTACAAGCTGGGCGAGTGCATCGACCTCGCCTCGGCGATGTGTGGCGAGAAGGTGCCGCCGGATCCGTACCTGGCCCGGGTCAGGAGCCTCGCCGCCTCGGGCGACGACGGCGCGGTGCAGAGTCTGATCTGTGGCTGGAGGAGGACGTGTTCACGAGGTACGAGCAATGCGAGACGGACGTGGAGAAGATCCCCAACGTGAAGACGCTGCCGCCCACGATGGCACTCATGAACTCCTCCATAGAAACGCGCTTTGGTCTCGTCGAAGGCTACGAGCAATAGTTTTGATGCATGGCGGATGATCCACGCCTCTCCGTTCTCCGATGATCCCGCCGATCCCAATCGTGTCGCATTCATGCACGGTTCAAAGTCGACACAACTCACAGCAGTTCCTTTTTTTTTTTAACTGCATCTTCGTTCCGGCGCCCTCATTGAATAAGGATAGAGTACTGGTGTCAAATAAATTTGCGGACAAAGTTTGAATTCGAGTACCTTTATATTTGTAAATGGATAGTATATTGGATGGCGATTGGAGGGGAGGACGTGCTGGGGCTGTCGAACACAGTTTTTTTCCACTATAAGGCATGTGCTCTTATGCTGTGGACATCCAGTGATTATCTATCAGCGGTCATCAGTGGCGGATCTAGGATGAAAATCTAGGGAAAACTTAAGTTCACACGGGGATAAAGGCATGAAGCTTAGCTCAACGCTCCAGCATCATTTTCAACCTCAGCTCAACGCTCAATCTCCTTCTTTCCATCCTCCAATGACAAAAAAAAAAAAAAAAAAAAAATTAGAGGGCGCTGAGGGGGGGGGCTCCACAGTCTCAGTCACGGTACCCCCAGCCCCGTGGCAGATCCGCCGCTGGCGGTCATGGAGCTTAACCCACGCATTTGATTGGTTGCTTTTTTTACAGTGGGGCTCGCTTGGTTGCAGGCTTCTGCAGTCGTGGGTCCCACACGGTCAACTATAGGTTCTCACTAGTTTGTGCCAGGCAAGGCGAAGTTGACCATGGTGGGTCCTAGCATAATAATAAAGATAAAGGAGCTGTTTGGTTTCGGTGGTTTCGCGGGGTGATCTGATCACAGCGCGAACAAATTACGTTACTTTTTGTTTGTTTAATGTTTAACGTGACCGGTTGCCAGCCGCGCTTTCACAAACTCATTCCCGCTCGATTTGGACGGTTAAGGGCCCGTTCGTTGAGGCTCATTTCCGGCCGGAATGCTCGCTGGCGATGGTTGGACGTGTAAAATATAACAACAATCCTGGCCGTATCGGTTCCGGCACTGCGTTCCGTTGGAACTGAACGTGCCCTAAGGGTTCCGGTTCCAGTTCCAGCAGTGAACGTTTGCTCAACCAAACAAAATAAGTACGGTTCAAAATTATCTTCGTTTAATTCCATAAAAAATGATATGATTTGATATGATTAATATATCTTAAAAAATTACATATTTTTTGCGGTATTAAATGAAGATAATTTTTATATGAAAATTATAGATCTCGACGAGATCTACAACTTTCTAGTTTTGAGTTTTTCCATTTGAAGTCGTTAAGATACTAAAAAAATTAATGGCATATTTAGATCTAAAGGGTATTTTTGACTTTTCACACCTGCAGTTTGACACCGTTAGAGTCCAATCTAATGGCAGTGGCATGGAGAGCAAAAAAAAAATGGAGCAGTCGTTGAAGTCCGCTGAACTTTTCAATGGCTCATAGGGAATTACGATCTTTTTAATGGCTCACAAGGAATTTCCTCTTTGTCGAGACAACTCCGAACCAGTGGTGGATGCAGCCGAAAAATACACGTGGGGTGGAGAGACAACAAACTTAACAATAATAAAAAAATTGTAGTCATGTGCCATATTTATATTGGAAACATATAATTAGAGCAAAGGCAAGTACTTAATTGGCATAGATAAAGCCATAAAGATGGACTAGTGCTACCTCTCTCAATGAAAAATAAACAATATTTGTGCTAAATAATAAAAATTTAGTATATCAAATAGAATAAAATAGCAATCTGGCGCCTGGCCAACTAAAAGAACATAATTTTTTTTGAGCAAAATTAAAAGAACAGAAGTGCCGAGCAGGGCTGCACAGGAGAAGTGGGCATCCGTGTGATGAGCACTAGGCCTGTTGGGCGCGTCCGACATGGGCCAGCAGCCTAACGCTGGCCTGGCCCACGTTTTGGCAGTTCTGGGAAGCCCAAAACAATAAACAACACTCGTCTTCAACCTCTCTCTGGCGGCTGAGGATCGTCGCAGGATTTCGACCCAGCGATCTGAGCGCGAGGGGAATAGGGGGTTGCTCGCGCCGGCGGCCCGGCGCCTACCTGGGGCGGCCGCCCCACCTCGCTGTTAAGGATCTGTACGAGCCAGCCCGAGCCCAACCAGGACTCATCGGCCCACCGCCCTTTTCGCTCCGCCGTGCGACGGTGCCCAGCCCTGAGCCCGAGTTGGGAGGGAGAGCGAGATGCCGCACCGAGCGCGCCCGATGACGGGGCTGCTGGTGTTCATGGGCGTCAAC